TTTAGCAGTGTGACATTATCATGGAAACAGTGGCTGACCTTGAAGTCTGTCTTTTTTAAAAGTAAGGTGAGAATGTTTTTATCAGGTATATAAAGATACAACCCCCCCCTTTAATAAGAGCTATGGTAGATTTACATATTGTTTTTTTATTCTTTCAGAGAAAAGCTGCTTAATCAACAAAAGGTGGCATGCCTATTAAAGCTGTGCTACACTACCACATTACTAAGAAAGTTTCATATTTCAAGGATGTCAGCCTGTAATTTAACAACCCTCAAGCTCTTGTCTCCAAAAAAGAGACAATAATTTAGGACTTAGTAAACAATAATTTGTTTACTAAGTCCTTCTCCTGCCAGCTTTTCACCTCAGTGTAAAGAAGAAAAAACAAACCCCAACCAAAAAAACCCAAAACAAACAAAAAATCCCACAACCCAACAAATCTTCAAATTTTAAATAAAGGCTAAAAAAAAAATATCTTTTCAATTTCCAACTTCACTACAGTGTCTAGTTCAACTCATGTGCCACTTTTCAGTTGCTGTTTCAGCACTCCTCTTCAAGCCTAGTCTGACTTGAAAAATGTTTTCTTTCAGAGTAGTTGAATTCCCACCTACCAGACTGCCACAGTTTCAGTAGTGAGCTGAGGCTCCAACAGCCTTGGCAGTGCTGCCATCTAATGCACCAGGACAAGGAGTACAAGTATCTGCATTGCTCTGCAACACTCAGGTAAAATGTTTTCTTCTAGATGGGCTCCGAAATTGTTGCACCCCTTCAACAAGTGTAGGCTTGTAATCCTACACTAACAATATTATGATAAATTATCTAGTCATAAAGCTGCTGGATATTAATAGTCATTGACACATTCCATCTCAAGGGACATTTTCTGGAATGCCACAGTGCTAAACCACAAACCCTGTATGTACGAACGTGACACTGACTGTCCATCTGTGAACTCAATTCAGTGACACACCAGCTCTGAAACACCATGGAAGGGAAGTCCTATGGCCTTCCAAACCACAGAGCTGGAAGGGTGGGTTTCCATATTTCAGGATAGCTTTCTGATCACCTTGTGGACTTTTCTTTTCCTGAGACACCAGTAAGACAAAGTATGTTTGCAGAATACAGAAGGCTAATGAAGCACATCAAGATGACGACGGAACAACAGAGGATGACTAGCAGGATGATGCTCCTTCCCATCCCATCTGTTTTCAGAAACAGTAACAAACAGACAGGCATCAGGCAGCGCAGAAGGATAAAACTGGTCTCTACATGGTTTATTTATTTGAAGTTTCACAAGAGATTTCCTGCAAGATCAAGGCTCTACAGCCATCTTTGTTACATCCAGTTACTTCTTCAGATCCCCTCATGAGACATAGCATCAACTTCTACTGAACCTGGATAGTTTTTCCTGTTAGAAAGCAAGTTGTTAAAAAAATCCCACCTAAACAAAAAACCCCTGACTACATTGGTCCAGATTCCTCTAGCTGTATAACTATCAGATTTTTTATCTCATTTTCCATCCCTCCCAACATAATTCAAATTTTCTTTTAATCTTAAAAATCAAACTACTGGTGTCCTATAAGCTTAAGATATAAGACAATTTATTTTCATCCACCTGTTGGAAAAATGGAGGAACATTTGCTATTCTTCAGTGGTATTACACAACCTGCAATCCATTAAGATCAGTAAGAAATATACAGAATATCATGCAGAGTTATGATTTCCTGCACTGTCCCTCTGTGAATTCTCCAAGTACATCTCATCCCATCTCATGAGGAGTTTGCAGCAGTTCTTGGGGAAAACCAGGTATATATGCAGAACAGAAAGCAATTAAAGAATACTGAATACCTTTAATAATCCCATCTGGCTCTGAAAAATACTTGACCTTAAAATACTGACATCCTAGAAGAACCACATGGTCTCCCTGTTCCCATTCTTCCCTAGGCATCTGCCCAGATACAAAGGCTCAGGTTTTACTGGATATTAAGCTTTTTTCAAGTTTTAACCTTATTCAGACAGCAACATCTAGTTAGGTTTGCCCCATTCTTTGAAACTTAAACAAAGCTATCAGTAGTCCCCAGTTATTTCTGGAGCTCAGTTACCTTACTAGGTAAGGTGATTTCAACAGATGGTTTCCTATTGAACACGTTGCTTGGGCAGGGCTTCTGCCAGTCCCTCCCAACCTTTCACACTGGTGATTCCCTGATGCTTTATGACGCTGTCAAGCATTTGGCAGCTACTCTGTCCCAGCACAGCTGGAGAAGTTGAAAGCATCAGCAGTCTGACATCCAAACTTCTGCTGAGGTGGACACCATATCACCTTAATTTATAAACATTTTCCCTTCAATACCTGTTGATTCACAGTTCCTTCAAAGAAAATAGAAGTTATTTGCCATGTGCTGCAGCCATTTTCTGGACAGCATTCCTCTTCCTGCAGGCAGTACCAATCCCAGCAATGCTCCTTGACTTTTGCTAGCTTTTCTAGATGACTCTCACCTTTCCAAGCAGAAGCAGCAGAAGTAGAGGAGTAAGTGGAGGATGTGAAAGGATATGCAAAATCAAGTGTACACATGCAGAGGGCAGTAAGATGGTGATCCTGGAGCCTGTACTTGGCTAGATGGCCCATGGTCTGACTCAGTCTAGTGACTTTTACAATGTATCCTTTGCAAATGCACATGATGCTGTAAATTAAAAGTCTGCACCAGTTCCAACTGCAGCTTTAACAACACACCCAAATGACATTGCAAGTAAAAGCCACTCAATGAAAAAACTACTACTGCTACTGGCACTGGATGTTTTTCCATTAGTTTATTATAGATTTGGAAAATGTTGCTGTATGCTTGCCTAGTTCCTAGATTCATTCCATAGCCCAGTGAGTCAACGCAGTAAAGAAAAAAGGACTGTGGGTCTGATGCAGCAATATCATAATCTCTCTTAAGAATAACAAAAATGTGATATCTCATCAAAACCAGAAATTCTGCAAAATATTTTAAAACATAAATTATGCACTAAAGTAAGTACGATTACTTTAGTAATATTTATAGCGACATATATTCTTAATTCTGAATGGAGAATTCAAATAATTTTGGACATAGCACTGGGAAATGTTTTCTACTCTTGTCAACAGAACTGAAGACAAATTGTGTTGAGTTTGCGTGACAAGCTTGTGGTGGTGGGGGTATGACAGGGAGAACCTCTGTGAGCAGCTGCCAGAAGCTTCCCCCATGTCCGACAGAGCCAAGGCTGGCTGGCCCTAGGACAGACCCACCGCTGGCCACAGCCGAGCCCATCAGTGACAGTGGTAGCACCTCTGAGATAATGTATTCCAGAAGGGTAAAAAAAGTTATGGCACAGAAATAATTGTGCCCAGAGAAGTGCGAATATGTGAGAGACACCAAGAATACAAGACAGACACCAAGGTCAGTGAGGAAGGAGGGGGAAGAGGTGCTCCAGACACCAGAGCAGAGATTCCCCTGCCGCCCATGGTGAGGCAGCTGTGCCTCTGCAGCTCCTGGAGGTCCACAGGGGAGCAGAGATCCATCTGCAGCCCATGGAGGACCCCACACCAGAGTAGGTGGATACCTGGAGGAGGCTGTTATCCCATGGGAAGCCTGCACTGGAGCAGGCTCCTTGCAGGATCTGTGGCCCTGTGGAGACAGGAGCTCACGCTGGAGAAGGTTTGTTGGCAGGACTTATGACCTCATGGGGGCCCCACACTAGAGCAGCCTGTTCCTAAAGGACTGCACCTCATGGAAGGGACCAGTACTGGAGCAGTTCATGAAGAATTGCAGGCCTTGGGAAGGACTCATGTTGGATAAGTTTGTGGAGGACTGTCTTCCATGGGAGGGACCCCACACTGGAGCAGGGTAAGGACTCCTCTCCCTGAGGAGGAAGCAGAGGCAGAAACATGTGATGAACTAACTATAACCCCCATTCCCCATCTCTCTATGCTGAGGCACAAAGAAGGAGGCAGAAAATTGTGAATAAAATTAAGCCTGGTAAGGAGGGAGGAGTGGGGAAAACTATGTTTTAGGATTTGTTTTACTTCTCATTAACCTGCTCTGATTTGATTGGTTATAAATTCAATGAATTTCCCTAAGTCAAGACTGTTTTGCCCATGACTGTAACTGATGAGTGATCTCTCCTTTTGTTGTATTTTCTCTCCCCTGCCCAGTTGAGGAGGGGAATGACAGAGTTGCTTTGGTGGGCACCTGGCATCCAGCCCAGGTCAACACACCACACAAATCAGTTTTGTCAAAGGGCTTTTTGATGATTAATCAAAAACAGAAGAAAAAAAAATCCTACCTCACATTTGGTACCATTACCTTCCCAATCTGACAGAAGATGGATAGTTATGCTGGCAAAGCACAATAAAAGTGAAGTATAACACAGGCACTCTGTGCAGTAGCTCCAATAACAAGCAGCAGGTTAAAAAACTAAGAGCTAAAACCTTCACGAGCCTGTGCTACCTCTTCAGTCTTACAAGCTGGATCAGAGTACTGGTTTCTGGCATAAGGCATCTGGTTCAGGAGTAAAGTTACACAGTAGTTTTACTGAAGAGACTTACAAAGAAAAACCACCAAAACATTCTCTCTTCATTCATAACTCTCAAGAAGTTGCATAATCTTCCAGGATACATTCACAAATGTGGCCAAACCCTGGGCACACCAAAAATACTTTCCTTGAAACAATGGGACTTCACACTGCTATGGTGCAGAGTTTTCAAAATCATTACCAGGCTGTGATGAGGTGCTGCACAAGCAAAAACCAAACCCTCGCAGTCTGGTTTAGCAACTTTAATCAGAGAGGTATAAATTCAGCCAGAGATCAGGACTTCGTAGTGAACACCACAAAATTTCAAAAGTTATTGAAGGAAATGAGGAGAAATGAGTTCCTGAAGAGAAAATTGCTAATATGCAAACAGTCACATTTTCTGCCCTTTAACATATTACAATTTTGCTTATTTTTCAGGAGTGTTTTCACCAAGGTTAAGTTTCAATTCTTACCTACAGCCAGCGCTGCACTCTGTTCTTGGCCTCCAGTCTGTTTTAAAAGAAAAGAGAGATTATGAAAATTTATTCTTTTGCACCAGGAGTTTTAAATGCAATGTTACTTAACCTTGGAAAAGCAAACACACATCTGGTTCCTGACATACTGTTTTTGTGGATCTACTTCATAATCATAGTTCTGGATCTATACACCACTGTGACTTTGGAAAAATATGTTACAAAAAATAGAATGCAGAGCTGTGTTTTATCTCTAGGCATACAGATAAATAGGGAACACCATTATTTGGCAACAAATGAGTTTTCAGGGAAAAAGGTTGCCACGTTAGATAATCCATAAGCAGACATATTCCAGAACAAATTTAAGTACTAAAGAGTCAAAGCTGCAATAAAATACCAGTGGCAAATTGTTCCACTTGCATTTCACTTTGCTTTAACAAGAAAATCACACACGATTCTAATTCAACCACACAAATGTGTGCATAAAAAAAATTCAAGTCTTGCATGCTGACCTCCAGAAAAGGCATTTTCAAGTGACCACTGAAAACCACTTGCTTAACAAAGAAAACTAGTGTTCTTGGACAGCCTCAGCGTGCTGTACATCTCATTAGCCACTGTCTTAAGACTGGTGAAATAATGACGTTAATAGTACAGATTAAAGGAGAAGATATGGAGTTTTACAGTATCTCATAAAGCTCCATGGGAAAAAATAGTGTAGCATTATCAAGGGAAGGCTCTGAAGACCTACAGCACCACAGGCTAGAAGCAGAGTGTAGAATGTAGTGAGACCGACTCTTCACAGCCCAGAGAACTGATCATAAGCAAAAAGGTGACTGTCAGACACTGTTAGAACTGCAGAAATTTAACTCTCCATTCTTTCCAGTGCATGCATCCCTCTCAGAGCAGCTTTCCCCTTGAGCAGGGTTCTTTAAGTTTGAGTAGCATCTGCTTTTGCCTTTGCCAGTTGACTCTCAGCTTCCCCTCACTCTCTCAGCAGTAACCACCCAGTACTTCAGGACAAAAAGATGGGTAACAGCACTGTCTCTGTAAGAGCTGCTGCAATTCCCTAAAACTCACCCACTCAGGCATATTTTAAATATGGTTGGGTTTTTCCCTTTCTCATGACATCAAATTGGTCAATTTGTGCTTTGAGATAAAGTAACCAAAAAAAAAATCAAACACAGGATGAAAAGCACTGATCCCCTGAAGGTCAGGATTGAACATGACTGACATCACAAAAAGAGAAACCAAAAGCAAAGTTAGACCCATCACTACAGCAAAAAGCTAATTTCCTGAAAAAGAGTGCAAGAAAAATAATATAGGACAAAGTGTTTAAGAACATTAAAAAATTCTACCTAAAAATAGTATTTTTGGGGTAGTCAAGAGCTCTGGTTAAGATTATTTTGAGTGAAGCTCCAACTTAATTCACTGAGCTATAAACAACAATGAGAAGTCTAAATTCATTAAAATGAGCAGACAATAGAAATAAATATTAAAATGAGAAAAAAAAATCCCATACAGCAGCAAAACTAGGGACCTTTAAAAAGTGTGTCCTAACACTACTAGTTCATTACTAAACAAATATATACACATTTCTAATTGATAAAATTACTACAAAAGAGACAAGCAATGCTTAGCTCTTCCCATCTTTCTGGACACAATACTGCACAGGGACACAGGCACTTACCACCTGCAAGAACAGTGTGCTGATGCTCAGGTGGCTTGTCCTGAAGGCTTCAATGAATGAGTAAAAGTTAATTATTAACAAAGTCTTACAGGACTTTTGTGGTAATGAAGGCACGAGGAGAGAAGAGATCAAGCAGAACCATTAGGCAAAAAGGAAGTAGACAGGAAAGTTGAGAATTATAGGTCAGTTGGACTACCATCAATAACAGGCAGAGAGATGTTAGCAGAGGAATCCATTAACTGGATTCCTATCTTTTAGCACCCATGAGCATCATGCAAAACAGATCAGACTGAGCACAACTGATGCTTGGCTTGATTGGCTTGGTTTATACTGACACTCTGATAGGTATTTGATTTCTTTTTATTTGCACAGTGTGACTTCACATCACATGGTATTTTAAATTTAGAGCTTAGCACTAAGCAATATAATAAAACACTTTTATAAATGGATAAGAAATTGACTTGCAGATCTCCAGCAGTCAGTAGGGAATGCCAGTAAAGATACATTAAAAACAGCCAGATGTGAAATTAATGGTGTGATGGATTCTTTACACAATTAATTTTTGCACTTTGGATGCACCTTAATTCAGATGCAGGAGTATCCAAATGAACAACTGTCTACTGTCAGATTCAGAGTGCGTGACTTGGGTTCTCCCTCTGAGCTTCCTTCTGATTGATTCTCAAGTTTTGGATCTGCAGACTAATACAGAAGTACTGCCAACAGGCACAAGATGAGACATGTATACTATATAAACTAATAGGTAGTGAAAATTGAGTAATACAGACCCAGCATTTTTCAATTGCTTGCAATTCTGAGGTAGTCAAGCATTTAATGTTACATTACAGAGAAAAGCAGCTCTGGGTAGGAAAATTACCTTTATTCAATGGGTTAATAGCTCATGGATTTTGTTTAGGTTTTTGTTTTTTGAGTTTGTTTCCCCCCCCCCTTTTTTTAAACTACCTGATAGAGTCAAACAGAAGGGAGATAATACATCCCATCCTAGGGATCTCATTTACACATACCCGCACTCTCCTTGACTTGCAGCCCAACTTCACCACAGCAGAAACAGGCCATAGTACATGCCAATATCTCAGGCCAACTATAATAGATATTCAAGGAATTGTCACAGCAGTTGGAGAACAAAAATGGGAAAATGTCTATAGCCATCAGAGAGGGCCAGTGAATCATCTGAACTGCAGCTATTCGTTTTCAGAACAAACCCAAGCATCATTCAGTTTGCCAGAGGAAAAGTCCGTAGTTGACACAACTCAAATGGTACCCAAATATAAAAGATGCACTAAGTAAACTTGAAACCATCATGGATAATGAAACTTGGGAAGAAAAAAACCAACAAAAACTGGTTAACCACTGAATAAGCCCTGTGTTTTGGGCATCCACCTCACATTGAAGTGATGCTGCTTAACTCAGCAACATATGAAAACAGATTTCAGATGAGAACTGCTAATCATTAACTTCCAGTATGAAACCAATATCTTCTTCCCAACCCTGACTGAACTAATTAAGATGCCTCTATACTCAAGCATAGACTTGTCAGTGATTGTCAATCAAGATTTGCTACATGAACAGTGATTTTTCAGGCTTTCCAACACTCAGGTTCTTCTGCCTATTAAGAACTAAAAACACTGAGCAGTAAGAAATAATTGAAAACAATTTGTACTAAGAATCTAAATAACTTTCTGTGTACTTAATGGGTACCTCAACTCATCAGGGAACTTCAGAAATAATTACTTCCCAAAGCTGACTTATTAGTGAATGCTTGCACAGGATTCACATACTCCATGTGAAATATTGGGCACCCAGGCTAAAGTAATCTTCAAAACATAACCCACAGCTGCTTTCACAGAGCAAATGTTTAAATTGCTTGTTTGGAGTTCAAGTTTGCACTAGAATTCCCCTGGGTAAGCATCACAAAAACTTGAAATCCATGTGAACCGGAGGTGGACAATGGAACAGATGTTCTCAGTCCATGAATACTGCTGAACAGAACAGGACTCAGCTCAAAGACTACCTGCTCTGGCAATTTTTAGATGCTCCTGCTCTCTTGCTTCAATTACAGACTCAAAATTCAGTGTGAGGAAACCACTCCAAAAAAACTTAATACCCTTAGAAGCACAAATTAAAACATAAAACCCAAGCCCAGTCCAAAACAGAACCGCAAGTCAAATACATCCTCCATCTTGTTGGTAATAAAAAGAGAAAGCTAAGAAATATTTAGTAATAAAACTTGATTTTTACTTCAGTAACAATAACAGATGGCTAAGCTATAAAAGCAATAAATCATAGCAAAGATCATGTTTCAAAGGAAGTTTCAGGGCATCTGCAGATGAGCCCACGGTTCAATGCTAAATGGATGCGAACTCCGATGTTAACATTAGTGATGCTAAACAAAGATTCTTCTATATCTGTATGGCAATCATAGATTAGATTAAGATAAGCAAAGGTAGTCTATCACTACTGCAAAGTGACCTCGGTTCTTTATAAAGAGCAAAAGTACTGGTTGGCTGCTATAAAACCACTTTTTTGGATTCTAGTTGTAAAGCCTCAACTCAAATCCAGCCATTTTCATTTGTCCTTCTGAAGCTAAGTTGTATATTCAAACTTCATGAGTTATAGTAAGTCTTTCCCTATCCTATATAATTTCTCAGTGCTGTCACAGTACCTCATTAATTGCTATACTCAAACTCATGTTTTAAATTTAAAATTTAATGATAGAAATGGTCTGTGAATGTATCAAAGCACTTACTGTTCCATCATAATTTTCATGCTTATTTCATTTCTCATAATTCATTTTACAACATACATTCTCTCTAAACTGCTAGCATTGCATAGCAGCTTTGTTTTATGTGATCTTAATTACAAGATTTTTTTTCAATCCCTTTTGCAGTTAATGTATTGGCTTATATTGCTGTGGACTTGGCAGTGCTGGGTTAATGCCTGGACTTGAAGATCTTCCAGATCCGTTCCAACCTAAATGATTCCTTGAAAGCTTTCCTGTAGTTCTTAACCTGTGCTAGACACCTGCCAAAAGCACACATTATGCTGTCTATCCTTTATGCACAGATTAAAATCTATTTATGCCAATATAAATCATATTCTACACAGCACTGTTCCAGTTTCTCCAAAGTTTCATCTGGAGATTTGGCTACAAGAGGAACATGGCAAAGAACAGTCAGGTTTGCTCTGAAAAAAGTATTTCAAATAAGTTTAGACACTGCATTAAAGGCTAACAAGAAGGGGACGAGGTTATATACATATACCCCTTTCACCAATTAAAAAACAAAAAGGGAAAACTAAAAAGATACTTGAGAAGCTCCTATGGCATAAGAGGA